TGGGCAGGAATCTCCTCAAAGCGGCGCACTTCCGGAGCGTCGTAGTGGGTGTTCCCTTCGAAGATCTGTGGGGGGGGCGGCGTGTAAAGATCTATTTCAGAATGGCACATTAACCAACCCCCCCCCCCCCCCCCCAGCACAGTCCCAAAGACTGATCCACGCTCACTCTCTGAGGCTGTGCAGCTCTGCTCCCTTCTTCACAGAGTAAACATCTCAGCTATGCTTCTCCACCCTCCTTTCCCATGGGGGGGTCAGCCTCCTCCACACCTCCCTCCCTGCCTCTTTTTTTCCATCTTGTCCGTGAAACATTCTACCGACCTGTATTCAAATAGTCATGTATGTATTCATACAGGCAAGTGTGGATTATCGCAGTCATTTGTTGGTTAATTGTTGGTCACCAAGCCAGCCGTCATACGCACACACAGACACTGAAAGAGGGGATTTTGGTTTCTGAGAGGTGGGTACGACAGGCCAGAGACGGAGCAGATCACATAGATCTGCCGTGGAGAGTCTGCTAGCCGTGTAATTACACCTTCTTTCCGGATTAATTAAAAACGAAGGCTGGCGCGGGTAAGGGTTTACTTAAAACTAAGCTTTGTTCTGCTCTCCTGAAGAGCGTTACAGCACGTGTTTTAATGAGATGCTGAGGGTATATTAATCCCCTCGATGGAGACTCGGCTCTCTGGAGTGGGGAGTGTGGAGACGATGCGAGAGAGTGTGAGATAGCGTGAGAGAGAGAGAGACTGACAGAGAGTGTGTGTGTGTATGAGAGAGACCCCGTGTGAATCCGAGAGGGTGTATGTGGGTGTGAGCGAGTAAGGCAGTGTGTGTGTGTGTGTGTGTGTGTGTGTGTGTATGAGAGAGACCCCGTGTGAATGTGAGAGGGTGTGTGTGTGCGGGCTCCTGCTCTGGCCCACTCTCCACGCCCCTAATCCTTAGCGACCATGTCACGGTGCCTCCCCCCCTGCCCCCCCACAGCTGCTGGCAGACGTCGACGTGGCACAGCCCCTCTGCCAGGGTGAGATTTACAGGAAAGCTTTCTGCATAATTGAAGCTGTTTTTAATGTCATGTCACCGTGAAAGTGCTGTGTCAGGGCCATTGGCTCGGGGAGCGCCGGGCCGGGCCGGGCCGGGCCGGGCAGCACTGGAAGCCGCCCTGCCGCCGTGGCAGGCTCCCGGCCTGGACCGCCTTTCAGCGGCTGCCAGGCAGGCAAACTGAGGCCCCCCCGTCTAGGGGGTGCTCTGGAATTACCCTTGACAGGGTAACTGCCGAAGCGAGCTATGATCCCACGCAGACGGACGCACGTGAGCAGTCCCCATGTCACCTCTGACAGCTGGTGTGCCATCGAAAGGTCACCCTGTTTACACTGTGTCAGGGACTGACCTTTAAATACACTGCAAAGAAATCTTAACGGAGCCGTGTGTAACAAGGAGCTTCCCGCTAATGCTAATTTTGCAGAAAGACTGTGGGGGGGGGG